TACCGATAGATTTTACGCGATCTACTAGTAGGTTTTGCCCAAAATGCCAAAATTAGGGCTTTTAACTGTTTTTTTTTCAAGGAAACCCTTCATTGTTTCCCTAAATCACAGACCCTAAGGCATTTTATGGGACATAAATGACTACAATTTAATGTCTAAAGAACTACGAATGTGTGGGTATGAACCCGGTTAAGGGGTTGGTGTTGACGTAATATCGGGTGATTTTATTGAGTATGAATTGATGTATGCTAGACCTTGGATGAGTCATGTGATTAAATGTTGTTATATGAGTGTGGATAGATAGACCCGGTGTGGTCAATGTTATATGATGCACAGGTTGTATTTTGGGTAGAGCTCTCCATACAAAAGAAACTTTGCCCGAATTTTGTTAAATTATAGATCCCGATAAATGGGGCATAATAGCGTGATATCGAGTTACACTATTTATGGGTATTCCGTGGGTTGATGGGTGATCAACGGACCCTCGGATTTTGGGGCGTCACAGCTTAGGTCGGTTTGAAATTTTGTTTTTATTCCAGTGAGCAATCGCGAATTTATGTTTTATTGTTCACTAAAATTGCCTTTATTCCAGACCTATAAATAAGAAAAGTCTTTCCTATACCTAGGGTAAGCCTCTTGTAAGTACTAGCTAAGACACACGTGAGTTGCACATGGAGCAATTTAGGTTAAACTATTTTGAATGAAAATCATTAACCACTTTCTTTTGAACCCCTTTCTTTAACAAACAATCATTAATCAGCCAAAGAAATCTTGCATCCAACTCTCAAATCAAGAAAAATATTGAAAGAGATAATTTGTGATGAAACATGAAAAAATGCAACTGAGAAGAACTGGGGTTGTAAATAGAAGTTAAAAATTGAGGGTAATATATATGTTATCCACTCTCTTTATTTATAGTCATCAGAACTAAAAGAAAGGATTGATGTGTCTCAATATAATTTTGTCTTCAAGATGATAAATCATTAGGACAAGAGTTGTACTCATGTTCAATTCCATGAATATCTTAGAAACCATCATAGTCATTAGATATTGAGGCCATTTCACCATTAGAAATGAAAGTTGACAAATTTTCAGGACCAAACCAAGCAAACAACAACACATCAACTTCTAAAATATAATGAGATAAGCTGATTTCAGTGGAAAGGAAGATGGTAAAGTGTGTGCATCCATATCTTTATTTCCTGCAACAATGACCCTTGGAATCTTTCATACTTTTTAGGCATTGAAGTCAAAAAATGACGCTTGGAATCTCTCAAACTTGTTAAGCGTTGAACGACTTTAAAAACAACATCATCAACTTTATAGACAATAGACGCTCCCAAAAATCTGACAGATCATTATATGACATCAGCTCACAAATTATTACAAATTGTTACCTAGTGTTCATCAAGAGGAATTACTATCAATTTGATTTCAAATAAGAAGAAGTTGATTTAAAGTTCCGTAAAACAATATTGCACAAATAAGATGTAGGTTATATCGGCTACATATGTCTAGGCCTATGATGCAATATGAAGATGCAAGGCTAACAAATTAAAATATTTTTTAAACTTTGAATATGAAAAACATTTTGATCTCAAAGGATTGACACTCACTTGGAGAGATATAGATTGTACTCATCTTTGTAATGACTAAAAATAGCAGCATGGCTTCTGTTGAGATCTTTTCTTATCAATTCTTGTAAATAGAAAAAATAAATTGCTTCAACACAACAAGCCTTCACTTCTGAAAACCAGTGGTTTGAATACAATTCTTTCCTGAGCAACAACCAATAAGTATTAGAACAGGATGCTATCAAATCATTTTAATCATTGAAAACATTTCTTAAAAGGAAGGTGAATTTTTCAATTACTGAACCACAAAATATCTTCCTAGGAGTAGGAAAGGACAATGAACAATGAAACATATATGAGAGTATGGAAGACATTTTTTCAATGACTTTCATTGAGCCAATTTTATGTAGGCCTACTGTTGAGAAAATTACAAATTTTGTACTCATTGACTAACCCCATACACTACTGGCTATTATAGCTAGTGGTATTTGTGAATGAGAGAATTTGAGGTCATGAGTTTGATTCTATTATGGTTATATACTCATACAAGTAGTTTTTCTTTACTTTTTTTTTTTATCTCTGATACAAACAATGGTAAAAGCAAAATGAAGTTTCCATGCTTTGATCTCAAACCATATTATTATGCCAATGCATTAAACCTTTTGTTCTGTCAAAGCATGTGTGATATATGTGCTGGTGTGAAAAAAATGATCACTCTAATGCAGGCAAAATCATTAGCCTAAATAGAGCCAAACTCAAAAACGTCAAGGAAAAAACTAATCAAATGAAGAAACTAATCGAGATCATATGCATGATCACCATCAAAACATAATATCTACATCAGAATTCCTTTATCCTTTACTCGTTAATCCATTCCATCCAAAATCAATCTGTTCAATTTATAGTTACAAATTCAACCATATTTTCAGAGACAATGACAATAGGTATTTGTCGTGTCACTTATTCAGCACTCCTTACTGCCCAAATTCCACGATATTAAGTGAATCTATAAACTGGAAAGGCGCTAAAATTATTAAAAAAAAATTGGATGTAGTCCATATGTCTAATAAGTAGTTTACGACACCTGACAAAAGACATTATAGGCACTATATATGAGCAGGATAAAGAAATTGATAAGAGCAAAAGCCATTAAATCCAAAGGACCCAAAATTATTGTATCTACATAAGGAAAACGCAAAAAAGAAGAAGATAAATCTCAATAAAGTGATGCCATTTATAAAAATCAAAGAATACCACCATACACCATGAATAAAATAAGAAAGACAAAGAGAGGGACACACCGCAAGATCAATTGAAGCCGGAAAAATCATGGAAACTGTGCTATTGAACAAAAAACATCGATACAAACTCAAGTGGCACGAGAAACACGTAGATGCCTAAATTCAAACACCATCACCAGCAAAAACACAACCATTGTTTGAGATCCAATGTCTTTAAGTTTAGATTATAACTACTCTAACCTCTACATACCGAGAAAGAGAAAAAAACTAAGATAAAAATACAACCAATTGGTGAAAATCATCAAACCTCTAACAATTTGAAAACCTGATATGACAATCCATTAAAATGATATTTGTCGGTAGATTCAAAAGAGAAGATGAAGCTTTAACGATGGGTATTTGTTGGTTTGGAAAATCTCTAATAGATATTTGTAGCGACCTCGTAATTAATTAGCGCCTATTTTAAATTCAATCCAGTGAAACATTTGGATGATTCGGCCAGCCAAACAACTTCCATTTTTCCAAGCGTTTCAATAATGATCAAGTTTCCACAATTAAAGTGAGTTCGTAAATTAACTCAAGTAACTTAATTAGGCTGATAAACATTAATTGCTAATAGACCAATAAAAAATTAGTGCAAAAGGATATTGTTGTCTTTTATTATTTTTTAAGGGTAATAAGGAGAAGTAAAAGTTTTTCCTACTTCTTAACATTTAGAAGTGGTATAGATTTTGAGAGAGAACTTTATACCTTGAGAGCTTGTATTACAACTTAGATCCCTAAACCCAAAGGCTACCATATAGTGATTCCTATCCAATATCACACATTGGAGATGAAGAACTTGTTTGGTTAAAGACCAAACCCATTAGAAGTGTGCATACTAAGGATCTTATTGGAGAAGATCGCTCGAGGCCTAGAGGATCCATTTGTAGTGGAGAATCCAAGTAAAGCTATCGAAGACATTGATGGGTGTATCTGATGGAGAGACCTATTGAAGAAAATGAGCGTATAACCATAGTATTGGTTGAGATATAAGATTTAAATATTTGTAAATTGACTTTGGGGTATTGAATTAGACTTTGATGAACCCAACAGAGATTTCTCATGATTTTTTAGGATGAGGGTTTCCGCGTTAGTAAATTACTTATGTTATTTATTGTTTTTACTTACACACTTGCAATTTGAGCACACACGTGCATTATGTGTTTGATTGAATGATTGTTTGATTATCTATATCATCTATAGTTGTGCATCAAAGATTTGTGTCTTTGAATTGGGATTCCCATAAGTGATTGAGAGCGTTTAATTGATAAATTAACAACATAAATCTTCATTGGTTCAAGGGTTCGTTGTGGTTAAAAGGGGGTTCTCTCGATTAATTAATTAATTTTTGTAAGAAAAGGTAATTATAGTCGTAATAAGTTTAAAATTGGTCATTGTCCAAACTTAAAGTTTAAAAACCTATTAACTTCTCTCGAGGTAGTGTCGTGCAATACATGTGTATAATCCTGAGAAAAAATCCACTTCATATCTCTTCTCTCCTAGAACAACAGAAACGACAGTCATATTTTCTTCGAACCTTGAATTGAGTACCCTTTAGAGATAAATGTCCCTCTACTTGGCACGTCTCCTTATATTTCTACATTGACACATTTGAGTTATCTTTCTTTCTCTTTTCAATTAACACGCTCGATTTAGACGGTATACAATTCATTCCAATTTTTTTTTCTCTAACAATATCATTTTTTCTACACGCATCTTAACGTCAAATAACTTAACTAACACAATTTTTAGTAATAAACACCCAATTAATTTACAACTACCTTTCTCCTTGTTGTTGACTTCAATTTTAGTAATAATTTTTTTATTTTTTTAAATATTACTATTGCACGATTAATACTAAAACTTTTATATTGTGTTATATTTTTAGACACATATGTGCAAGCCTCGAGTTAAATTGTACTGTCCACAATGTGATATTCCCCTTATCCTGAAGAAAATATGCATTATATGGGTGACGTGACGTCACCGTTGCACTATTTACACCTTATGCTGGGATCGAAACACCACCTTAATTTTGTTTTTCCAACCGGAAACGGAAGACGATCAACATACCATAAAATAGTCGTGCCCAAGTAGTGGTACACAGTACACTCCTCTTGTGGTCGCCCTCACGGTTACACCAATGTCCGAAGCCTGCAAAAATAACACTCACGACACGACCCAGAATCAGCCGGAACCCAAACACTCCGCCGGCGAACAATTCCCACCAGACCCTTTGTTGGGACCCGGCGAATTCATCGACGTTGACACTGGTAATCGCGCTGACCAAAACGGCGTTGTAGACCACACAGAGCCCAACCGAGTGAAGCCACCCGATTCTTCAGAGCCCACCACGACGACGACGGCCACCACTCCTCAACGGCGGCGAAGAGCGCGGGAGGATGTGGCTGCAATGGCAGAGAGACCCGCCTGGTTACCGGATGATTGGAAGATTGATATGAGGATTAGGTCTTCTGGAGCCACCGCTGGATTAATTGATAGGGTAAATTTTATATTTGTGCATGCGTCTTTTGTTATCTGTGTGTTGGGGGTAGGGGTGATGATGAACTTATGTGTCTATGTACATGTGTGTTTTCATGGATGGGTTGGTGGGTGGTAGCTTTATACATATATCTAGTAATAACCCGGGCTTAAAGATACTTTACAACTTAAAAATATAATTCAATTTGAAACAGTTTTTCTTTTATTTGCTTTAATTAAAGAAATTGAAATCAATCTAACCCCCTATTATTTTTTAAATTTTTTTCAGAAAACCCAAAAAAACATTAACTTGTCAACACAGTGACATCAATTGGCATCATTGCCCAACACAAACATTGTATTGCCCAACACAAACCATTGTATAACCAATCTCAAAAATAAATTTCTCAAACCTAACTCAAAAATAATATATTTTAGTCACTATGCAAATCTAAATCAAGATAACATTTATATCATTATAACAATAATCAGTCACATGTTATCAAGGTTTTTAAAATCATGATCCTACCTTGAATCGATGGAGTTGGTTGTAGTATCGGGATTGTTGGATCGGATTGAGAATCGTAAAATCCTACTTATTAAAGAAACTAGAACTAAAAATACATTCAACTATAAAAATTTCAATGAACTAAACATTGTCAGTGTATTTCACGTAAATATATGATAATAGACATATATATAGTATGCTTATCACAAGTTAACTCAAATAAAATTGAGAATGTAGCTCAAAAGGTAGACTACTCACATTAATGTTGTAACATTCAAGTTATAAAATAGAGAGGATCTAAATGTAGTCGGGTTGTAATAGCAAAATCTAAAAATTACAATTTAAGCTAAGGTTGCAATAAGGTAATAACAAAAAACGGAGGAGACAAAATTAATCCCAGACAATAGAGTTTCAGAAATCCATACAAGAGGTAAACATTAAGTAGAAAACATAGAGATAACACATTTGGCTTAAAATTAGAAAAAAAAAATAGTCTTTGTGACTGTGTAAAAGTAGGATTGTGGGGTTGTATTTCGGACTGGGATCCTACGATTTTGAAGGATTTGGATCTCGATCCACATCGATTCTACTGTCCATCAATTTTGTATACGATCCGAATCGATTTGTTAAATTTGGATAGTAGGATCGTGGGAATCGGATCGCAATTTTAATTAACCATGCATAATAGTTGTCAAATAGCAATTCACATCGTGAATCGGAATCCTAAATTTGAGAATCTTGAATCGTATCGAATCGTGAATTGGAAGATTTGATTCAAAATTTGAACAAAAATAAAAAAATAATACTACATATTTAAAATAGACAAAATATTGAATATTAAACATTATTGCATTTTAAAAATAATCAATTGACATAATCACGTTATCTAAATTGAAAGATGCTAGTCTTTTACTTCATTTTCATTTATTACTTAATCATTTTCAAATTCGACAATTTAAAAAAAAAATTTATTAAAGAATCATGGCTATTCAAGAACCAAAATAGTGACACCAAGTATAGATTATGTTACAAACATGAATGGAAAAAGAACAAATAAAAAAATTGATTAGGAGAAAACATACAAGCCAACATTTTGAAACAAAAAATTAACATCTAATAAACTACCCAGGAAAGAATTGAAAACAAAAATTAACCGACGATGTGAGAGCGTTAGCTGTGACCTTTAGTTTTAGACAATGCAATATGAGTTTTAGAGGACGTCAGAGAGAGAACGAGTAAAAAGGTTGAGTTTTTATTAGGGCGTGATTCCTCTGTAAACAAAATGACGTACATTTTACTGTTTAGCGGACAAAACGACGTCGTTTTGTCAAAAATTTGGATTTTTTAAAAAAAGTAATTGAATCGTGCGATTCGTGAGATACGACTCGAATAATACGATTTAGGTGCGATTCAACTCTAAAATAATTTTCATATAAGATACAAATTGTTTTATATCTTTATTGAATCGAATCGAATTACGAATCGTACGATTTTGATAACTATGCCATGCATGTTATATACGCAAGTCCAACCAAAGAATTATTATAGTAGTAAGAGAGACAACTAAACCACCAAAACAACCATTCCAAACCTAATCATCAATTCCCATCAAACCAAACATATCACCATGTGGGATTAGTTCACCTTTACTAAACACGGAACATACATAATACACACACAAATTGGACACACACAAAACATTGATGTGCAAAGAGAAACAACTCTCTTCAACTCTATCTTCTTTGTAGCTAAGAGAGACAACCAAAGATTGATCATAACAACCACAACACAATCATCTGATTGGAATCAAGGACTTCAATGTCTTCCAGATGTGAAGTTACTAGAAAATAACCTCTCCATGCTTACATGTATACCTAAAAATTTTGAAATATAAAAATAATCGAAAAATGGGAGGCAAAACCAAACTACTAAAAATTCGAAACCTACGACCCCTTACTTTTCTCTTTAGTTAAAATCAACATAATTATTGCCATCAATTACATTACCCAGAATTACTCAAAAATACTAATGAAGAACACACACACACACTGTGTAAGGGGAGGAAGATTTGATAGATTGATAGTTAGGTAGGCATTTAGAGAAATGGTAGGAAATAACAAATTTAGAAGAGTTTAGAGAATCTCCGTGGCAAAAACTTTCAATCAAAAAACCAAACTCCTAGCGAATTGGGCGTGATGTAAAAGAGAAAGAGCTTATAGTATTTCTCTCAAGCAATCAACAACCAATTCATCTACAATATGATTTTCGCCATAAATCAAAATTTTTTAGTGGTTGTTGTGGTGTGTTTGAGGTGGGTGAGCGAGTGTGATTGTGTGCAGGTGTGTGTTTTTGGTGTGATGCGTGTGTGTGTTTTGGTGTGATGTGTGTTGTGTATGTTGTGTGTGCTGGACAATGAGTAGATGTACTTTGTGTGTTCGTGTTGTGAGTGTACTGCGTCTTTTTCTCTCTGCATGTGTGCTCTGTATGTATGTGTGTGTGGCTGTTTGTGCATGTATATGTGTGTATTGTGTGGCTGCATGAGAGGTAGAGAGAGGCAGAGAGAGGGAATCTTACTTGGACAATAGGTTGAGTAGTGGTGGGTCAATCGTAGAGGTGCATTGGTCGGTAATGGATTGATGGGAGCTCCATGGCGTTGATTGCGAGGGAGAAGATGTAGAGGGTCGCTCGGGTGTTCTTGGAATGTTAAGTAGAAAGAGAGAGATAGAGGTGGGGAAGAGGTTGGGTCATGGTTCAAGGTATCGGCCGAGTTCGATATGACTCAGCCGAGTCGTATCCGCCTTGGCCCCTATCGATACGCAGTACACGAAAACGACGAATTGATCAGATATCGTCGATATCTCAGTTCAACTCGTTAGTATGGGCTGATATCAGAGGAATTCGGTTTAACTCGGACGAGTTCTACTGGAATCGATCCGAGACAAAAAAGCCAGTGAACAATCTCCCAAAATCTGTAAAAGCCTAAAATCAGTCACTTATTTTTTCATGCTGAATAAAAATCCTAAAAAAAAAAAGAGGATGGGAAAGAATGTAAAGATAGGATGGGAAATATAGCAAGACTAGTCTGCCGATACTCAGAAACCCATGTGAAACTTAACCGGAAAGGGCAGAAATCACATGAAATTGATAACCTAAACCCCTCTTTTTCAACTATAAAAACCAAGAGGACTAAGGATTTACCACATACCTCTTGATCGAACGAAATAGGGTCTACAATCTGCATCTTCTGTTTTTTCTTCGTTCTTCTTTTTTTTTGCTAATCTTCTTCGGTGCTGTGAAGATAGGCCAAGAATTGCTATTGCTGTGACTATCGGAGTGGTTCTACGTCTCCCTGTCTGCCTTTCTCTCTCGTTGTGACTCTCTGCATCTCTCTCTCATCTGAGACAACTGTGTAGGTAGGTAGGAAAAAAGAAAAATCTGACTTAAAAAGTAATCTTTTTTTTTACTGAGTCTTTAAATATTTATTTTTGCCTTTAAAATCATATAAAAGCAATAGATCAAGTGGTAGAGATCCAGGTTACCAACCGAGAAGTCATAAGTTCGATTCTTATATCCCTCAATTGGCTGTGGTTTTTTTTCTGTTCTATCTGGCTTTTTACTTAGTCTTTAAATATATTTATTTGTCTTTCAAGTCATATAAAAGCAATAGCTCAGTTGGTAGAGATGCATGTTACCAAACTGGAAGTCGTAAGTTCAACTCCTATGTCCTTCATTCATTAGACAGTTTTTTTTTTCTGTATTTTCTGGGTGCTGCTGTTTTTTTTTTTTTTTTCAGGCTGCTATGTTTTTTTTTCACGCTATTTTTGTTCTAGCTTTTTTTTTTTTTTTTTTTTCAGGCTGTTTTTTTTTGTGGTAAACAAAGTTTCAATGTAAAAATTATATACATTAATATTTTATAATAATAATACATTAATATTTTATAATAATAATACATTAATGTGGCAATGATTATGACTCAATATGTTCTTAAATGCCTACATTGAACATTGATAATGATAATTATTTTCGGTAGCGATTTTGTGTTTCATTTTAATTATGTTTAATGTGTTTTTAGATGTATTGTGTACATATGATGCATGAATGATGATGTCTATATTTTTAGAATTTTCTATAATTCTTTCAAATTTTTTTGGAGCTTCTATCTTGCGTTTTGAGCATATCGGTCGATATCGCGCCGCGACGCCGCGACCGATGTGTATCAGTACCCTCGGGTTGATGACCGATACCGCGACTTTGAACCATGGGTTGGGTTGAGGTTGGTGGGGTAGTCTGACTTTGTTGGGGTTTGGGAGAATAATGTCATCTTAGGCTTTTAGTAATTCTGGGAGAATAATTTCATCTCAAGAATTACTAGGCCCTCATAATTGCTCGTGCCTGAAGGCACTTTGTAACATACAAAAAATAGCAAATAATTGTGAGTGCCTGAAGGATCTGTATAACATTTTGACAAAATTTACTCTAAATACATGACTCCTATACAATCAACCTATGTACACCATTATAAAATCAATCCCTTATTTAAAGAAACACAACGCAAATTGATCACTAATGAGCATAACCTTCAAATTTTAAGCCCTTACCTAAGGGCACTACAAAACCTTTAAATCATGTGCTAGCACAACCAAGTTACGCTCAAAGTAGTATTCCAAATCTTGACAACCTAATCTTTTTTCCTTTTTTTTTTTTTCTCCGAACGATAACCCAATCTTAACTATTCCCCAAGACAATGATGCCCAAAATTCTAACTTACAACATAATTAAACTCAAAAACATATAACAAACCAACCACAATAATAATCAACTGAGAGAGAGATGAAATTGAAAACTGAGTAGAGATAAGAGAAAGGATATTGTAAGAGGCAAAAAATGAATTTACCTCTCACAAGGATTGTTGAATTCAGGTCATGTACCCCTTTCTTCGTCCTGCAAAACGAACAACTTGCCCAGGACCAAAGTGCTTCGATTGAAGACACTTTGATGCTTAAGTCGGTAATTGTATGCAGAGAGTATGTGTGATGGGAGAATTGAGCGTACCTCTTGATGTGCATACTCAACTCCTTTTATAGTTTCTGTCTTTGTTAGGGTTTCTTTGATTGATGATGTAAGGTGGCACATCTCCTATCAATTTGGGATATTTGTTAGGGATTTGCTGAAATCTTTCCAGACGCCCCCCTAGTTGATTGGCTCTTTACGAGCTATTGATTATACTTATTTGTTATACTTGAATGCCT